TTTCTTTCTTTCTTTCTTTCTTTCTTTCTTTCTTTCTTTCTTTCTTTCTTTCTTCCTTCCTTCCTTCCTTCCTTCCTTCCTTCCTTCCTTTCTTTCTTTCTTTCTTTCTTCTTAACTTCCTTCCTTCCTTCCTTCCTTTCTTTCTTTCTTTCTCTCTCTCTCTCTCTCCCTTCCTTCCTTCCTTCCTTCCTTCCTTCCTTCCTTCCTTCCTTCCTTTCTTTCATTCATTCATTCACTTAACATACCAATCACATTTCCCCTCCCTCCTCTCTTCCTGTTCCCTCCCCTCAACTTCCTTTCTATACCCCATCCAGTCCTCAGAAAGGGTAAGGCCTCCCATGAGAATCAACAAAGCATGGCACATCAAGTTGAGGCAGGACCAAGCTCCTCCCCACTGCAGCAAGGCTTAGTGAGGCATCCCAGCATAGGGAGTAGGTTCCAAAAAGCCAGATTATGTGCCAGGGACAGATTTTGGTCCCACTGTTAGAGGCCCCACAAACAGACCAAGCTATACAACTGTCACCCACATGCAGAGGGCCTAGGTTAGTCCCATGCAGGCTCCCTAGCTGTCAGTCGAGAGAGTCCATGAGCTCCCATGAACTTGGGTCAGCTGCCTCTGTGGGTTTCCCCATCATGATCTTGACCCCCCTTGCTCATGTAATTTCTTCCACTGAACTCCCGGAGCTCGGCCCAGTGCTTGGCTGTGGATCTCTGCATCTGCTCCCATCAGTTACTGGATGAAGGGTCTTTGATGACAATTAGGGTAGTCACCAATCTGATTACAAGAGAAAGCTAGTTCAGGCACCCTCTCCACTATTGCTAGGAGTCTTAGCTGGGGTCACTCTTGTGGATTTCTGGGTCCCATGGGGAATTTTAAAAAGTTGGTTTCATAAAATTTGAGAATAGAGTAGTGGTTACCAGAGGCTGAGGAGAGAAAAGAGGAGGGTAGTGAAAGGATGCTAAGTTACAGCTAGGGGAAAGGTGTTCTAGTATGCTGTATGGCACAGTTGGGTGACCATAGGAAACATATATAGTTCAAAAAGCTACAAGAAAGGAGTTTTAATCTTTTCATTACAGAGAAAGAACAGATGTGAGGAGTGTCTCAATAATTTATCGAAACATCCTTTGTACCTAATAAATAGGCATTGATTTCATGTCAATTAAAAATTTCCTTAACATATTTGGCTGCCATAATAGAATTTTGGGGAAAAAATAGAGCCTTCATTAATAACTTTTGCTATGTCCACAGTGCATGCTTTGTTTCTTCCCAAGGCTGATCTCACACCACCAAAGTGATGTTCTTGAGTGTGGAGTTATAAAGAGATACAGAGATCCATATGGTATGTATTACTGATAGTGATGATGAGGTTGGTAAGATGAAGCATCTCCTGTGTTCAGACAAAATAGATGCATAGACTATAGACCCAACAGTGTGAAGAGTGGTTTCTCTTGTAAACTTAGAAGTGATGGATGCTTACTTCTGTCTTAGTTAGGGTTTATATTGCTAAAGAAGAGACACTATGACCACAGCAACTCTTATAAAGGAAAACATTTAATTGGAGGTAGCTTACAATTTCAGAAGTTTAGTCTATTATCATCATGGTGGGACATGGTGGCATGCAGACAGACATGGTGCTGGAAGAGGAGCTGAGAGTTCTACATCTTGTTCCATAGGCAACAGGAATTAAACTGTGACACTAGATGTAGCTTCAGCATATATTACTCCAAAGCCCACTCCCATAGTGACATACTTCCTCCAACAAGGCCACACCTCCTAATAATGCAACCACCCATGGGCCAGGCATTCAAACACATGAGTTTATGGGGGCCATAACTATTCAAACCACCACATTCCACTCCCTGCCCCCATAGGCTTGTAGCCATAACATAATGCAAAATCCATTTAATCCAGCCTCAAAAATCTCCATAGTCTATAATAGTCTCAAACTTGTTTTAAACTCCAACTTCAAATATCTTCTGAGACTCATGCAATCTCTTAATTGTAATCCATATAAAATTAAAAAAGCAGACCACATACTTCTAACATATAATGGCACAGTACACACACACACACACACACACACACACACACACACACACACACACACACACGTATATATAAAACTGTTCCAAAATGGAGGAAAGGGAAGACAATAACCAAATATTGAACCAAAGCAAGATTGAAAACCATCTGACCAAACTTGAAACTCTGCATTTCTATGTCTGATGTCAAAACTCTCTTCAGATCTCCAACTCATTTTTTCTTTGTTGACTGCAATACAATTCTTTCTCTTGAGCTGGTTCCATCCCTGTTAGCAGCTTTCCTCATCAGATATCCCATGATTCTGGCATTTCTTAACATCTTGGAGTCTCCAAGGCAATCCAGGCTTCAACTTCACAGCTTCACACAATGGCCTTTCTGGGCCCTCATTCAGGGATACTCCTGACACATGTCTGGGCTTAGTGGCTTTCCTTAGTTATGGAGAGAGATTTCATAACCTCTTTCTTCTATCCCTGACTCTAAAACCAGAACCACAAGGACAAAGCTAACAATTTCTGCTGCTTGCTGTGACTGGAACATGGCCTCCTTATTCAATTACATCTTCTCCAGCTTTTCTGTTTCCAGTGGGTTCCTTTACTGCCTAAACTTGGCTGCTCTGGAACTTTCTCTGTAGACCAAGCTGGTCTTGAACTTAGGGATCTGCCAGTCTCTGCCTTCTGAGTTTAAAGGTGTGCACCACAATACCCGGCTTTTCTTTAATTCCCTTTCACAAGTTGGAAGCTTAGCTGAATGGGGTCTGCCCTGAGGTCACCACTCCCTTTATTCCATTTAACATCCTGTTCTTCTTTAATCTATTTATCTCCTTGAACATAGGACTTGGCTCCATTCCACTTTCTGATATATATTTTCTCCTCAATCTGTACATTTTATATTTTTCCATGCTCAGCTTGCTCCTTTTCATTGTAAATCTTCATTAGAGTTACCACTAATAACCACATGACAGTCTATACTGGGCTATTTTGAGATTTCCTCTGCCAACAGAATTAATGCAAATCTCTTCACTTTAGCCTCAGGCAGACTCTTTGGACAAAGGGAAAAAGCAGCCATATTTGTCACCAAAATATCACAAGAATGATCTCTAGGCAATGTACTGAAACTCTTCTCCTCTGAAGCCTCTTGAGCCAAGCCCACAGTTCAAATTACTCTAAGCACCATTGTCTTCCAGGCTTCCACTAGTTTGGCCCATTAAGCCCCACTTAAAGCATTTAACTGCTTTTCTAACCCAAAATCCCCAAATCCATATTTCTCTAACCAAAACATGGTCAGGCTTATTACAGTAATAACCTACTCCTGGTACCAACTTTTGCCTTAGGGTTTCTATTGCTGTGAAGAGACACCATGACTACAGCAACTCTTAAAAGAAAAACATTTAATTTGGAGTGGCTTACAGTTCCAGAGGTTTAGTTCATTATCATCATGACTGGACATGGTGGCATGCAGGCAGACATGGTGCAGGAGAAAGAGCTGAGAGTTCTACATCTTGATCCACAGATGGTGGTAGTGATGGCACACATCTTTAATCCTAGCATTTAGGAGGAATAGGGAGGAATAGGCAGGTAGAGCTCTGTGAGTTTGAGGCCAGCCTCATCTACAGAGTGAGTTCCATGACAGCCAGCGCTGTTATAGAGCGAAAACCTGTCTAAAAAAAAAATCTGCAGGCAACAGGAAGTGAACTGAGACACTGGGTGTAGTTTGAGCATATATAACCTCAAAGACCACTTCTACAGTGACACACTTCCTCCAACAAGTCTACACCTACTCCAACAAGACCACACCTCCTAATAATGCCACTTCCTATGGGCCAAATATTCAAACATATGAGTCTATGGGGTATTCAAACCACCACACTAACATTTTTTAAAATATGATTTACTTAATTGAATGAGTATGGAGCTTAATTTTTAATACTTCTATATTTAATAACTTGCCCATAAATTTTCTAAACTCTCACAGTTTCTCCCAAAGCATTGAGTATGGGAGGTCCAATATACCCTTCTATAACGTCCTTATATAGTGAAATAAAAACAGAGAAGGTGTGAAAATGAGAGTGCAATGCATACTTGTGTAAGTGTTCTTATTTAACACAGTCCCATGTACAGTGAGTATATACAGTGAAAATTGAAAAGAAACTGAAAAACTAATGCATGCCATTTATCTCATGTGACAATATGTTAGTAGTGGTCAGACTCCTGCTCTGGCTTACTGTGTATCAAGCCTCTCCAGTCCTCTGTATTGCCTCAAGATTGCAATATGGCTTTTCTCTCCCTACCTTCATTTCCACATTCCAAGCAGGGAAGGGACAGAGAAAAGACTTAACTGTTTATTTGGCCAAGGATACTGTATTGTCTTCCTTTGGGTGCTGAAATAACATGCCTCTAAGAAGCAACAGTGGCAGCAAACAGTACATGTTTATTATCCAACAGTTCTGGAGATTAGCAATACAGACTCACTCTTCCTGGACTAATGTTGAGGGGTTGCAGGGCTGTGCTCCTTGGTGGAGATGCATTGAGGCAGAAGGCATCTCCTTGCCCTCACCAACCTCTAGAGACTGCCTACATTCTTATCCCTGGAAACTCTTGTAGCTGCACAGGCAACAGGGGATGGTTAAGCCCTTGTACCATCACTGCATTTCTGCCTTCCTGCCATCTCCTCCTTCTAAGGGTACTTAGATCATACTGAGGCCACCTAGGGAATCCAGTCTAATCTCCTCATCTCTAGATCCCCTACTCATTCCCTTCTGTGTGTCCCCTTTGGCAAGGAAGGAGACATATTTGTGACTTCCATGGATGTGAATGAACTGTTGTGAGATTTATGAATAGAGCTATGCCAGCACAGACCATCCTTGGTGGCATGGAGGGCTGGGCAATCAAGTTTGAGCATTTGGAACAATACAGGGGGTGTAGTGAGAGACTGTCCATCATTCCCTTTGTAGGCAGAAATGTATACCTGTCCTCCCAACTCAGTTAATCATGTTGGAAAATGTATCCCCTCTGTCTCTTCTGACCTTTAATGGGTTAGATGCTATGGCAGGGAGAGAGTGGTGGGTAAGAACTTGAGTGGCCACAGACATCAGACAGATCCATTGACTTAGAAAGCAGAAGTACATAGAGAAAGAAAGACCTCCTGGTGCAAGGCAAAAATAACTGCCATGGGTCTTGCCATGGGATATGAATTTTTCCACAAGGCAGGAAATGCCACATAGCAAGTTTGGAATACATTATTTCCAAGTCGGCCACCATAAGGAAAATAGAATGCAAGATGAAAATGATCTTGTGGTGTCTCCCAGATAATGGATAAGGGGTAGAAATTGGAACAAGTTAAAAGTATGTGATATTTTTTTCATATTCCATAAAGATGTTGACAATATCCACCATTTCCTTCATTGTCTCTTTTATAAAGTGTGGAACTTCAGAATTGTTTACCCATATAGCTTTGTACTGTGTAGAAATATACAGGATTCTTTTAAAGGACTAATTAAATAATTTCAAACATGAACATAATACATTCTGATTACTCTTACCCATCCCCTTTTTACTGCCTTTTATCTACCTGGCATACCTGCTATGGCCCCAAATTTCTATAGATCCCATCCCATGTTTTTGCCTTTTTGTTTTGTTTTGTTTTATGACTTACTGAGTTTAACAATGGAAGTCTGTGATACCATGGATTTGGAGATATCCACTGAAGCCTGGTAGGCTCATTTGTATGTACACATATGAAGTTACTGACTTTCCCTCCCTCAGAATCTTTTACTCAGCAGGGAGAGTTGGACTCTTGGCTTTTTCTTACAGAGTGGAGTAGCATGCATGTATCCTTTTGAAGTTTGGGGTTAGAGTTAAGTCAATTTTTATAGTTTGTGTATTTTCTTCTTCAGTCTAGACTACTTTTATTTTGCTAACTTTTATGTATAAATGAACATCACTAATTAAGTCTAATTTCTATTAATTTTCACAGCTTTATGCTATCCCATTGTATACATTTACCATATTCCATTTATATATACATCTTGTGAATTAGCATCCCATTTTTATTTTTGCCTTCATTTCTTTTATTTTTTATTAAAATTTAGATTAAATTTTATTTATATAATATGGCATGATGCTTTGAAGTTTATAGGCCTTGTGGAGTAGTTAAATCTAGTTAACAAATGCATTTGCTCACATCATTATCATTTTCTGTGCCTAGTACTCTTCAATTTGATGTCATTATATTGAAGAGTACAGTGCATTGCCATTAACCATAATCATACTGCACAATAGATTTCTCAAGCATATCTCT